AGAAAATATATCTAACTTTTTCTTAATAAGATTTTACAGGTAATATTGAGCTAGAATTACTGGTAACAAGCAACAATGTGGTGGTTCACATGGTTCACATTAAATCCCAGCAGAGGAACAAGATTGTTTTTCTTATTTTAAGAGTAAGACAAATTGCTAAAGTTCTCAATTTAAGAAACTACACCAATCATAGTTTGAATTCATGTGTTTGCTGCTGGAATTGTTTTGACACTGGCAACTAGAATGTTGCTGGATTCTTGTTATGCTGTTAGAACAGGATTAGGGCTTGTGCACCTTTTGACAGTTGCAATGTTGTATTTTGTTAAAATATGGATTATATTCTGGTACACTCACTTTAGACAGTAAAAATGTTCCACAGTTCTATGTTAAAGTAGTTGGAAAATGCACTTGTTGAGAGTGGCAGGATTTATTTTGCCATGATTTGACTTGAGTGATGTCAAACTTCCAGCTGACCTGAATGGCTTCAATGAAAACATGAAGAATGTTTGTTTTTCAAATCCTTTTTGAAGAAATTGTGTCTTGTACTGAGCTACTTTTAGCTTATTATTATTCTTATTGTTGAGGTATAATTTCTCAAATCCAGTTTAATCAAGAATAAAACTGCTCAGGCGCCCCTACAGCTCACCTGGTTGAGCGGGCGACCCATGTGGTTCCCCGGCCCGGTGTTCGTGAGTTCAATTCCCACTCACTACAGTTTGCTGTAAGGTCTCTCCCTGTTCATCTCCTCCCTGTCCTGTGTCACTCTCTCACTGTCCTGACTAATAAAGGCGAAAACGCCAGAAAAAAAAAGATTAAAAATGTTCAGTTTTAAGAAAATCCATCTCATTTTAAGCTTTTTTTTCTAACTGGAAACCTTAATTAAGGAGTAAATTCTTAATTAAAGTAAAACAGTCTTAAAGTCAGCTTAATCAAGAAATCAGAACACTTACTTTAAGAAAATATTTCTTACGTAACAGAGTTTCTTTGCTTGTAATAGGCAAACATTTCTTACATTTTAGTCTATTTTTTCTAGTTTTAAGACACATTATGGTCTTAAAGTGGCTAAATATATCGGCTAGTTTTAAGAATTCCAGCCAAGTAAATTTTGCTTACCCCATTGGTAGATTTTTTGGCTTAAAACAAGAAGATTTGACCAGATTTAAGAATATTTGGCTTATTTCAAGTAGGGCTGTTTTTGCAGTGGCAGTTTGGTGTTACCTCACATTCAAGGTTTTTTAAATTAGCTGTTGTTGAACTAAAATGAGGACAGATTCAGCAACTGCATCGCTTATTTTTCACCTCAAATCTTTTCAGAAATACTTTTTGCTGAATAGTTTTCGT